ACTACGGCTAATGTTAGTTATACTAATGCTAACACTAAAACAGCTACAGGTATTTATACTAATGCTAATGGTACTACTGTTAATGCAAGTTATACTAATGCTTCTACTATTTAGCTCTGTTGTTCACCTTTTATTTTACTTTTAGATTTTAGCTAGTAATTTGCTACTTTAAGCTAAATTTTTGCAGCTTTAAATTTTTAGCTGGCGTTTTGCTACCTTTTACTTTGTTCAGCTAGAATTTTACAGCTTTTAACTTTTAGCTAAGGTTTGGCTCCTTTTATGTATATATATATTTTTTTTTAGCTAAACATTTAGCCACTTTTAGCTAGCATTTTGCTACTTTAAGCTAGAGTTGTGCTACTTCTAACTTTTAGCCAATGTATAGCTATTTTTTTACTTTTTCGGGCAGCATTTTGCTCCTTTGAGCTAGCAATTTTCAGCTTTTTACCTTTTATCTAGCATTTAGCTTTTTCTTCATTAAGCTAGCCTTTTGCTACTTTAAAATTTTAACCACCATACAGATACTTCTACTTTCTTCAGCTAGCATTTTGGTACTTTATGCTTGTGTTTTGCTGATTTAAACCTTCAGCTGGCATTTAGCAACTTTTTGGCATGTTCAGCTACTACTTTTAACTTTTGTTGCTAGCGTTTTGCTCCTCGTTTATTTTGTTACTTTTAGCTATTAGGTAACATTTCACTGATTTACCTAGCGTTTAGTTGCTTTTTTTGCATTGGTTAACTAGCATTTTACTACTTTAATCTAGAGTTTTGCTACTTCTAATTTTAGGCAGCATATGGTGATAGCTTCTTTTTACTTTGTTCAGCCAGCATTTGGCTCCTTTAAGCTAACGTTTAGTTGCTTTTTGCTTTTTAAACTAGCAATTTTCTTTCTTTCTTTTTTTTAAATACTTTTAGCTTGTATTTTGTAATGTATTTCTTCTTTAAGATATTAGCTACATCCAATTTTTAGTTAGCATATAGCTACTTGTACTTTCTTCAGCTAACATTTTGGTACTTCAGTCTGTGTAAAAACACGTTTCACGTCTGTAGTGAACTCCTCGTTTCTACCTGAACCGTGGTATTGCTCAGACATCCCAGAATCCATCAGTGCAGACCTAAATGTTGCAGAAAATTGATTGTTTCATTTCTTATCTGCTGAAGTTTGAACGTTTTGTTCTTTGGCTGAAGAACCAACAAAAGAACAAAACGTTTAAAAAAAACAGCTAAAGTGTCGTTTAGTTTGTCTCAGCTGAGTAAAAATGAGAAATAATTCTCATTTATAAAGCAGGAGGAAAAAAAAAGTTTTTTTAATCCATGGACGATTTGAAGAGAAACTAAAGGGATAGTTCAGATATTTTAAAGTGTGGTTCTGTGGAAATGTTACAAACAGTTAATATCTTACCTGTTGTAGATTGGTCGCTCTTTCAACTACCTCAGTTTGGGGAAATGGTTTAATTCACATCAGAGTGATGAGTTAATGGCTGGTCAGGACTAAAGTGGAGTGCAGCCATTTTACAATGTGATGATAATGTCAGAATTTTGTGGTTGTTAGCAAGCAGCGCTAATAAAAGCAGTTAGCTGTAGCACTTCTGGTGCAGCCTGGCGCCACGTGACGCCGATGGTGATGTAAAGGTTGGAAACTTGTTTTAAGATGGCAGCAATCCACTTTGGTCTCGACTGGTCGTTCAAAGAACCATCTAGAGCAGGTAAGATATCAACTGTTTATAAACTTTCCACAGAATCCCTCTTTAAACGATCAGAATTAACCTTTTAGTTACTTTAAAATACAGATTTTAGCACATTTTTGTTCCAGTGTGTGGAACAGAGTCTTAAATCTGTTTTGTTAGAATACAAAGTGAATGTTTTTGTTTTTTGCACGTTTCTTGTAAGTGTTCGTACAGTTTCACGTCCCGATCCTTCAGATGTGTGACGACGACTCTGTCGGTTGTTTTGTAGTGAAGCTCTGCAGCCGGTCGTCATGTCCCTGTGGATGATCCTGCCTGTCAGTCTGCCCGTCTTCACCATCACAGGAATATGGGTCGTGTGAGTATTTAATTTATTTATATGTTGTTGTTTTTTTAAGTTACATTTTCATACTCAAATGATCCAGATATCACGAGCAGCTTGATTTGTTTTGCTCATCAGGAAAATTGGTCTAAATCTTATTTATATCGTATTCTAACGAGGATTTCTTGACGTCATTTCAAAGAAGAAAGCTCAAACCCTGTTTGGGTGTCAGGTTTTTCCAGCTGGTATTTTGTGGCATGAAGGTTAGAGAAGGCGAGCCTACAATTGGGAGGTCGCTGGTTCAAATCCCCTGACCGCTATAAAATAAAGTATAAATGGTGGATGGGAAAGGGGAAGCCCCCCCACTTGCAGAGAAAGTAGCTAAAATTAAGGATTTTTTTCCTTCTCAAAATCTTCCATCCATTATTTTTACTCGCTTCTTCCTTTCCGGGTCATGGGGGGGTTACTGGTGCCCATATCCAGCAGTCACTGTGAGATGCGGGGGACACCCTGAACAGGTCTCCCGTCCATCACAGGGACACACAGAGACAAACGAGACAAACATTGATGCTCTCACTCACATAGGGACAATTTCATTTGAGAGAACTATGCTTTCATATTGTTTAAAAGTATAGTTTCCTTAAATGATGGGGTGGCTGAAGATTAATCTATGGGGGCCAAGGCCACCATTGGCCACCCCCTGGCTCCTCCATTGATCCTGACGGTGGATAAAATTTCTCCCTCTGCTCATCAGGATCTGTCACACCTCCCTCTGTTACACAGTGTAACTCGTGCACACTTGAACATCTTGCACCAAAAACATTTAGGTTTACTTCATTCTCTGTTCAGTTCCAGTCCAGAAAAACACTCATCTCCAGAGCTACAAACATTCACGATGAGCGTACTGTTAACTTCTACTAAACTTGATGTTTTTCTTCCTCTCCAGGTACGCGATGGCCCTCTACAACCAGCACGTCTGCCCAGTTCACAACTGGTAAAAACACTACACACGTCAGCTCCGATCTCTGCTGTAATAAAACAGACAGGTCTTCAAGGAATGCATGTCGCCCGCCGCCTCGCACGCCAACCTTTTAATATCTCCTGAACCACTGGACAGATTTGAATGAAACTTTCAGGAAGTAATCGTTGGCCGGACATTAACGACTGATTAACTTTTGGAGTCGACCCAATTCAAGATGGCCGCCACAACCAACTCACTTTCAGAAACACAAAAACGGATAATTCAGCTACTTTTACAGAAACGGAGCTGAGACTTGCTGTGGTAGTAGCTGAGAGTCATTCACAAAACACACTCTGAGTGCTACTCATCGCAGGAGGTCTTTGCTTCAAAATATATTGTTGCAATAACTGTTGGGGACACTCGTGTTTGTCTGTTAGCAAAATATCTCACGAACTACTGGGCAGATTTTGGTGAAACTCAGAAAGTAATGACTAATTATCGTTTAGGTGCCACAAAAATGGTTGCTGCAGGTAATTGGCTTTAGTAACACATTAAACAGCTGTAACTCTGTCGATTTTACAGCTAGAGAGCAAATATTTGGTGTGGTAGTAGCTGAGGGTCATCCCCAACATGATCTCTGAGTGAATCTCAGCATTTCTCTCAGAGCATATCCAGGCTTTGACCAAAGCAGTTTCATTTCTGCACACGAGCTGACGTCTGCCGACATCAAAGGCTGCGGGCGATATGCATTCCTTCAAGGAATGCTAGCCCCGTTAGCCGCCCTGCTAGCTTCTTCCTCCGAGCCTCAGTTTGAACGTGCAGCGAGGAGTGGACCAGAGAAATGCACTGCGAAGCCAAATGTTGATTCAAGATGAGTTTTATAAGAAAAAGCATCTTCGAGTCGCTGAAACCAGGAGCGGGATTTTTCTAAGATGAAAAGTAACAGAAGAACTTGATTTAAGTCACTGCTTGAGTCTCGTCTCCACATCTGCTCCTAAAATCGCATCCGTTTCAACAAAAAACGGATTTTATGGTTTAGTTTACGTTAAAGCTGGTTTCAAAATCAAACTACGCAGAAACTTATCAGTAAAAATCTGCAAAAACATCTTCAGAGACGTCCGTTTCAGTTTTCACACAAATATTTCTGTTAGTTTTATAACTTTAAGACGTGTTAGTTTTATTACTTCCTGTCAATGAAGGGTCAAGACGGGTGATCATGTTTTCGCTTGTCTCTGTGTCTGTTAGCAAAATAACTCAACGCGTTACTTTCAAGGTTTGACTAAAAGTTTTACGACGCCGTCATTTCTCATCTCGATCTCAGCCTAAAGCTGTGGTTTTAAAGGCAGCGGGCGACGTGCACTCCTTCCTTGAAGCCTATAACACACCGCACTTAGCGCGCACGCTGCATGTTTTTAAAGAAACAAACTAAAGCCTGGAAGATGTTTTAGATGTTTGTTTTAAGTTTTTGCACTAATCATGAAGAGATTTACAGCCAAAAAAACTGACCTGTCAACCACCTGAAAACTCATTCATTCATTCACAATAACAAGATAAAGCTGCGTGTGTGTGTGCGTGTGTGTGTGTGCATGTGTGTGTGTGCATGTGTGTGCATGTGTGTGTGTGTTCAGGCTGTATAACGAGTCCTGTGAGGAGCAGCTTCCTCTGCAGAGAGGACCTGAGCTCTGCTGCAGTCCAGACAACGTCCCACTCATCAGGTCAGAGCTGCTGCACCGTCTTTACTACAAAACTTTGCATTTATTTATTTATTTATTTATTTCTGGGAAACTGAACTTTTTACGCACCGAGTTTTGGCCGTTGTAAACTTGAAACTCTCTCAGCCTCTCTTTGATACACGGTTTGAATTATTTAAGTAGAATTCATACATCGGACGACATGAAGAGCAGCTTGTTTTGTTGTGCTTCCACTCCATGTCTTCTAAAATAAAAACTTTATATTTGACCTAAAGAAAAATACACCAGACTGACAGAACTGGGGGTGTGGCAGGTAACGGTGTAGTGGAGGAGGCGGCGTTAACATTTGTTTACTCTGACACGTAGAATAAGTTCGAGGCCGAGCTTTTGAAAAATCTGTTTGCTTCATCTGTAGTGATTAAAAAAGAGGCATGCACGACAGCTAAACTGTTAGTTAAGTATTCAGCTGTGTTAGTGTCTCACGTTAAACTGGTAGGACATCCGACACATTACCAGAAACTCTGAGGGGTCAGAGGTCACTCAGGCACCACACAGCAGGAGGTCTTTCCCTCAAAATGTCTTTCTGTTAGAATTTTACAAACAAACGTGGCTGATAAATTCATTCTGCTGTTTGTCAGCAGTTTAAGTTACCGTATTTTCCGCCCTATAAGTCGCATCAGTCCAAATACGTCTAATAACGTGGAAAAATCCATAAATACGTCGCATCTGTTACGCCTCCCTGCCGACAACAGGGAACGTGGGCCGGTGTTGTGCCAAAAATCGTTTGGCTGCGAAATGACGGCCACGGGAGCGTGCACGGGAGGACTTTAACAAGAATTTAACAAGATTAACACTTAAAATCAATTATTTGTTTGCCCGACTTTATAGTAAAGTTGTGTCTCAGTTGAACTTTTACTTAATAACTGAAGTTCAATGGTCAAATCAGCTGCATTTCACCGGAGCGGCGCAGAGAAATGAAGCTGATTTGACGGTTGATCCAAATGAGCTGGATGAAGGTGGCAGAGTATGGCAAGCTGATTGTGTCATTAATAGCCACTTTTACCTACTACATGATACAACGGCATGCCATACTATCTAGTGCCAACTAGCAGCTGAAAATGGTAGTGTTCAATATTTTCAGCCAGACTGATTAAAACGGTTTTATCTCAGCCAAAAGTTTATAAATATGGAAAAATCCATAAATAAGTCGCTTCGGTGTATAAGCTGCAGGGCATGTAAATTATGTAAAAAAACACGACTTATAGGCCGAAAAATACAGTATTTATTTGTACCTGGCTAAAAGCTAAATGTAGCAGCACTAGCTTAGCGACCTGAGCAGAACCGAGCAGCATAAGTTCACAACCAAACAGTTGAAGACAAACAGAACCTTCTCTTTAGGGTTTGGACCTTTAAATATAAAGTTTAACAACAATTTGTTCAGTAAAATGTTGCCACGTCATATTTACTCCTTAATTTTATATTTTGACGACATTTAGCTCGGTTAAAGCCGAGAGTTTATAGTTAAACCGGTGTTATGTGAAGTTCGTGAAACTGTTCGAGGCCTCCTTCACCTGGACAGGAAGGAGGTTTTATCGTGAACCGTCGATCCCTCTCGGGTCTGAATGCCGCTGCAGAACGTAAATGTTTATTTCCTCCCTTCCGAGTGTCCAACAAGGTGTTCATGTTGTCCTGCATGTTGGACCGAGCCGCCGCCCCTCTTGAAGACGTGGCTTGTTCTTGTTTCTCGTGTTTTCTTTTGTTGTGAAGATGATCTGAGGTACTCTTTCTCTGAACCTCTGGAAAGTTCTCAGTTTAAAGGCATCTCTTCTCTGTTCCCATCGTAGTAAATGTGGGACGCTGCCTCCTGAAAGTTGCTTCTTCAGCCTCGTCTGCAGCACCGGATCCTTCATGGGTGAGTCTGCACGAGGAGCTGGACCTTCAGAGACCCTCCAACCTTCAGGCTTGTTTTCTCAGCTGCAGCAGCTTCAGCTAACGCTCTGCCAGGTCCAAACTCAGCCCTCGATCTGAGGGGAAAATGACTCAGTGCCTCGAATTGGGCTTTTATTTTTTAATGCCCCACATGAACCACAAACCTTCACCCTCAGACCCGGGTGCCAAAACTGCTTGAAACCATCTATTTTGGGTGGTCCTCTCAGGGTTTGTTCCCCGTCGTGTGGACTTATGTCTCCATTTCCTTCATGAACGTTTGTAAGAGTTCTTCCAGTCCAGGACTGAACCAATCTGAGCTTTACTTGGATGTTTTTAAATAAAAGCTTAAAGAGTCGTGGCACAGCTGAATTTTAGGAACTGCAGCTAAAACAACAATTTAAATTGACCTTTAACCCCGCAGTGCACGTTCTTCATTCTAGTTCGTTCGTAAAGTCATAGATGAGTTTTTGACGGTATGAGTGGTCAGTATCTTACCTGCAGCAGACAGAAATTTCAGTTTGGAGATTCAGGCTTTCTTTGAAGGGGTGCATTTTGCCCAACATGCCAGAGTTTCAGGTTAAGATCATCTGTTGTTGAGTGAAGTTATGTTTTAATCTCACATGATCCATAACAGTTCGGAGTATGTGCCACGAACGACTCTCAGCTACTACCACACCAGATTTTAGCTCATGTTTTTTGTAAAATTTGCTGACTTAATTCCTTCTTTGTGTAGCGAGACCAGATGAAGACGGCTACTGCAGCCAGCTGAAATTAGAAAACCACGTGGCTAAATCATTTTTACAGAGCCGGAGCTAAACTTCGGTGTGGTGGAAGCTGAGAGTCGCTTATAGCACATAAGAACGGGACATTGTGCGATCTCCCATGGAAATGAGTTTAACGTTGGTTTGGAGGTTTGACCAAGATGGCTAAAACTCCAACAGAAGATTTTACTTTAAATCTCTGGCGGGTGATATGCACGCTGTTAAGGAATGCTGATAAATTATTTGATTATAAAACATCATCTAGAATTTATTGTTTTTTTAATGAATGTCGATGAGCAAACTTTTATCTCAAATATTTCTGCTCTCAGTGGAAGTCCGATGCGTCTGTGAATTTAAACTGTAAATCTCCCAGAGATCCCCCCCCCCCCCCCCTCACTGTTTGATTCAGCTCCCATAAACAATTCTGAGTTCATATTCGGTTTATTTAACTCAAAGTTGTGGCGTGAGACGAGATTAGACCTGTGCTGGGCCTCGAATGGCACAGATAACCCCGAACCTCAAACATGGAGGCTTGTTGCTGCGGTCACTGGATTAAAAAAAAAAAGGACCACTGCGCTCGTTGCTGGACAGTCGACGGGGACATCCAAACAGTCGGTCTCAGCGATGAGCGCCAGATGTTGTGAGCGATGAGACTGCTGTGAAGCTTTGATGGAGCTGCTGGATAAACAGACGTCAGGAATCTGCTCACACAGAGATCTGCAGCACAAGGACGCTTTGAACCGAACGCTCCTTTTATTTCCCCTCTCGGTTTAAACGCCGGACTGAGCCATCCGAGGGGCGACTGGCTGGAGAATTAAAAAAAGACTTTTCACTCGCACAAAGAAGAAGGAAGGTCTTCTACTGAACAAACAGAAACCAGGAAGTAAAACAAACTAAGGTCATAAAAAACAGCAATTAACTTAACAAAGGTTTTACTAGAACAGTTCAGATCTTATAAAATGTGATTCTGTGGACAGGCTATGAACAGTTAATATCTTACCTGTTGTAGATAGCTCCTTGGAGAAATGGAGTTTAATTCTGACGGGACCGACGTGCTAACAGCTAGTGCTGCCGCCTTAAACCAACACAAGTCTCAAACATTTGAGGCATCGCCCGCCACTGAGTTTTAGTTCGCTGCAGCCACATGTTGAGATGTTAATACTCTGAGGATGTATCGTGGGTGACCCTCAGCTACTACCACACCAAATTTACCTCAGTGTCTGTGAGCAGCGGCTGTGGTTAGGTCTGTTGCAGGTTCACAGTGCAGCTGCAACCCTTCTGGTTGGAACAAAACAGGTTAAATCATGTCATCTGGACCAGTTTCTTTAAGTGAGAAATGTTTCGTCCCCCATCCAGAGGACTTCCTCAGTCTACGGCCTGCCAACCAGATCTGTCCCATAGGTAGCCTTCACCGCTGCGCTTCAAGCCAACCTCCTGTTGGAATCTCAAAAGTAGACTTTTAAACACACCCATCCAAAACAATCAATCATCTTGAACAACAATCAAATGTTTTAGGCCAGATGACCAACTTGCTACTCACAGAAACAGGCCGAGGAGTGGTTCAGAAAAAGGTTTGTAAGCTCCATCATCCGGGTAGATAACAACAAAAAAGGTTCAGTTGTGTCATCTGGACACGATTTAACGGACGGAGCTTACAACCCTTCTGGTTAGAGTTTATATCTTCTCCCAGTGCACATGTGGGTTTTCTCCGGGTACTCCAGTTTCCTCCCACAGACCAAAAACATGCATGTTAGGCTGACTGGTGACTCTCTAGGTGAGAGAGAAAGAGTGAATGGTTGTCCAGGGTTTACCTTGACTCTTCCTGTGGAGGAATGGACAGACGGATGGATGGATGGATGGATGGATGGATGATGATAGTTGGAGGATGGATGGATGATGGATGGATGATAGATGGGTGGATGGATGCTGGTTGTATGTTGGATGATGTTGGATGAGTTCTTAGTCGGTGGTCTCCACACTGAGCTCCAGCTGCTTCATGCCTCTGATGGATGTTGGGTGGATGGATGATGGTTGTATGTTGGATGATGTTGGATGAGTTCCTGAATATGGTGGTCTCCACACTGAGCTCCAGCTACTTATTCCTCTGATGGATGGTGGGTGGATGGATGATGGTTGTATGTTGGATGATGTTGGATGAGTTCCTGAATATGGTGGTCTCCACACTGAGCTCCAGCTGCTTATTCCTCTGATGGATGATGGTTGTATGTTGGATGATGTTGGATGAGTTCTTAGTCGGTGGTCTCCACACTGAGCTCCAGCTGCTTCATGCCTCCGTCTCCACCCTCTCCTTCCAGTGATGCTCATCAGCCTGCTGCGTTACGCTCTGGTCATCGAGAAGAACCAGAACTCCGTCCTGAACACGGCCGGCCTCTCCACGGGCTGGATCTGTGCTGCCGGGCTCATCATGGTGGGAAACTTCCAGGTAACCAGCCGCCTCTCACGCTAACGTCTCGACTCTCGGATCAGATCAGCTTTAGGCTCACCTCTGGCTCAGTGAGGTCTGAGCAGGCGCTGATCCACCGTGTTGCTCCAAATGGACTTCCACCCAGTACGTTATTCTAATGAGTCAACTTGGTGCGAAGTTGATGTGTTTTTTAAAAACTCCACGTTCTCCTCCGGATACTACGTTGTTGCTCCAAAGACTTCTTTTCTTCCAGTAATTTGTGACGAACATAAAATTTAGACAAACTATTTGGACCTAAAAACTTTATATTTAGCTACTTTATTTATATTTAGCTATTTAGTTTAGTCATTTATAGGTAGCTGTCAAAAAAGCTAGAGGCAGCAAAACACTAGCTTAAAGTGTCAAATACTTAAGTAAATGGTATGTTAGTGGATTCCTAGCTAAAATCAGAAACATTTTAGCTAAATGTATCAAAACGCTAGCTAAAAGTAAAACTAGCAATTTTAGATGGAAACATGATAAAACACTAGCTTAAAGCTAAAAGTAGAGAAACTTTAACTACAAGCT